TTGGGCTTCGTGGCTAAAATCAAAATCTCCTCCAGGGTTTAGGGTTTAGGGTTTAGGGTTTAGGGTTCAGGGCTTCGTGGCCAAAACCGATTCTGCTGCATCTCTTGCCCAACAGCAGGCATGCCTTGCACAAAGCCCAGAAAGAATCGCAACGTACTGATTGATTGCAAGGGAGAAGCCGTTTTGAAGCTGTGCAGAAAAGGCCTTAGCTTCTTGGATGGGTGATGCATGGAATCATGGATGTTGTACTGTTGATATTCCTGAAGCGAGCCTGTCTGCCAAATCCTAAACTTTCAGCCCCTCAACGCCTGATTGACTGAATTCCCTTCAGGCTTTTTGATGAAACTTCAGGATCCCTGATGGAGAGTAAGGCGGCATTTCCCTCAAGTATTCACATCTCATGTGCATAGAATTTTTCTTGGGCCTGAACCCAAACATCCCTGAGCCCTAAATCTCACATGTTAACTTTAATAAAGCACGCATGCTCCCCTCTGCCCAAGGTCTTGTCTTGCTGCCACCATGGGCTGACCTACTGTGAACTCGAGGCTTGGTACCGAAGAGTCTCATGTAGCTTGGCATGCCCGAGTCGTAGTTTAGACAATTGCGACGTGCTAGTCAACACAGTCAGTGTTGAAATGAGCTTCTGCGAATGGCAGCAGTAGTATCAATAGGAATCCTAGTACTGGGCACCCTTGTCTCGGGCCTTGGCCACACATACCCCAACTTTTGCATTATTGTCTGTATAATCAAAAGCCCCGATGAGGGCCCTTCAGTTTTTTGAGAACTTCAAACCAGCTACTGTACCAGATACAAGCCCAGATTTACCACCTGAATTCACAATTCGAGGGTTCCCAAAAGCCCCCACGGAAGATTATAGTCATTATCGAGATCCTGAACTTTTCTTGTGATGCAAGCACTTTTTGTGTGCCATGCCAGGGTTGCTGAGCAGTTAAGTTATTGTGTTCCTCATGGCTTTGAGCACCAAACCTCAGCCTCCAAACGTTAAGTGAACAACCAGATTCTTGGCCGCGCGATCTTAGAACCCAATTCCCTAGAGCTCCAAAATCCAGATCGCAATCCCAACATAACAAAAAAGGCCTAAACCTTAAAACCACCTAAACCCCCAAGCTCCAAAACCCTACGTGTGGGGAGTAGGGGGTCAGGGATCTTGCAATGCAGGCGTAGCGGCTCTACAGTTGCTGGGTGTAGTACCTGGTAACTAGCTTCCATGAATAGGGCAGACCCCAAAGTAAGCCCCAAGTAAATTCTCCTTATGAACACCTCCGAAGAGGGACCCCTTAACTGCTGAAAACCCCCATAGCGACAACCGTGTCACCGCCGAGGCCCTCCTAAAAATTCCCCAACCTTGAGCCCCTAGAGCCTACATCCACATCACAACATTTTTCACTTTCCTGATCCCAAGAGGGCATTTCGCAAACTCGAGATCACACGTCTAGGAAGGCTGAATACAGGGCTTATGAGGCAGTGTTACTGTTTGGGCAGCACGGCTTACTTCAAGGTTCACGGGCAGTATTTCCAGGCGGGGCTATAATCAGGAAACGCCGTATAACCGCATCTTAACTTAAGGGACTGATAACCCCACATGGTAGTTTCCCAAATAAGGGGACCCATATAGACCCCAATATACTATAATCCTTATTATGGGGATCCCCAATAGGGTACCCCTAGTTTTGGGAAACCCCCACATACCTAAACCCTAAACCCTAAACCCTACCCTGCTGACTGAGGCATACCCATGCTTCTCTACCTCATCCTCACTTCCGAGCTTATTCACAGCAACTTCCTAAGCTCAAGTTATGTGGGGCTTTCCCAAAATTAGGGGATTAGGGTTTAGGGTTATATTGGGGTTATATTGGGAGAATGGAAAAGAAAATGGAAACTACTATAGTTTATTAGGGTTCTATTACCAGGGGGTTTCCCAAAATTATGGGTACCTTTTTGGGGGTCCCAATAATAAGGATTGTAGTATATTGGGGGTCTATATTGGGGTACCCCTATTTTGGGGGACTACCATGCTATGGACAGCGTTAGATGGTCGCAAGATCATGTTTTGTGGGGTTTCAGGAGGATTCGGTTTCGGTTTTAGGGGTGTTCTCAACATTTTCGGCGCACCTCGCCTATACGAAGACTGTCCTACATTCTCGTGGTAGGCTGACATGTACAGGAGCCGCCCCTGTTGGGGGTGTCCCAGGGACGCTTCCTTGCTTCTAAGATAGCAGCCCTTGTATTTTGGAGCGTCTGCTCGGTCCGTTACCGGAGGCTTAGAAGCAAGAGCCATAGTGTTTTGAATGCACGAGCACTTCTTAGGGGCATCGAAACCCAGATGCACCTCAGTACAGGGTTGCAGTGAACCAATTACACACCGAGCCAGTGCTAGGTGGCGCATGTACTCAGAGCAATCGAGGGGACTGGTTCGCAGCTGCGAGGTTCAGGATCACGACAATTTGGCTCAAAGGGCTGCAGTGGCGCTCCTTTGTACTGTCCTGTCCCAGATCTAGGGACCCCACATACTATTGGAGTCTTCTTTTGTGCTCTCCATGTGCATGACTGTTTGGTGTCCATACCGGAATGCTCTGCCACATTGCTCGGGACATTGCTCGAAGCTGATGCTTTCCTTGCGGGCAACCTGCAAACGACTGGAATGCTTGTTCGAAAATCTTATCTATTTTAACTCTCTCATGAGGAGCTTCCCCGGACACCAAAGCCTTGATAATTAGGCCAATTCTTCGGCAGCTTGGTTCATGCTCTCATTAGGCACTTGCTTGCTTTTACACCCTGAACCCCATCCCAGTGGCTAAAGGCAACATCTATCTCTCCTGCTTCGTACTGTTGGTTGCCAGCCTCTGGTGGGAAGCCAGGTTCTGCATTTAGGTTGTGGGTTTGCATGCCAGCAACTTAGCGTGGGACCCCAGATAGCCCTTTCAAAAGGACAGTAGTCTCAGGGAGTCTAGGATTCTAGGACTCAAGGCATAGGCGAGCTGTGTTGCTGTTGACTTTTCTTCCTTTCCAATGAGGAGCCATCGAGGGGTTCTCTCAGAAATCATGGTCCTTTCATGCATGATGCACCCAAAGTATGAGAACTCTCAAGACAGGGACCAGCCACAAAAAAGAAACGGGACGAATTCTGAGAGGCCCTTATAATAAAACCCCAATATAACCCCAATATGGCCCTAATATAGCCCCAGTATAGCCCTAATATATCATGTACCTTGGAAAAGTGTGATACAAGGGTGGTGATCGAAACCGGACTTCTTTGAGGGTCCTAGCCTTGGGTGCCCTGCTGAAAGCATGCATATATATATATATTCATATGGGAGTTTCCCAAAATTATGGGTACCTGTTTGGAGGTCCCAATAATAAGGATCCTAGTATATTGGGGTCTATGTTGGGGTCCCCTTATTTTGGGAAACTATCATATGTGTATATATATATATGACGTGTAGGGTTTAGGGTTTGGGTTTTGGTAAGTTTGACAAGTTTCCATGTCAACAATAGCAACCATCATGCTGCCCTAGCATTGGATACCTGTGATGCTTGCAAAATTATGCAATCCCAATTATGGGACCTCCATTTCCTCGTCGGCCTTTTGGATTCGGAGTGCCTGTAGCCTCAGTCTGCGACAAAGATGCCCTCTACTCATTCTGACCATTCAAAACCCTGCATGATTTGACGTATCTGGATTTGTAGGCGCCATGAGATCTTGCTACCGCACATGTTTCCTTTTGATGATGCTAAGAGAGGTTTGGAACTAGGGGGAGAACGCGAAACCTGAAGCCCTAAACCCTGAACCCTAAACCCTAAACCCTAACCTCGCTAAACCTGAAGCCATAGTAGTCTATACATTGAAAAATAGAGTAACCTCTATGAGAGCCGCCCAGGAAGTCTTCGTCTACTGCTGCGTTCTGGCTTTTCTCACAGCCTCCTTCGCCTCCGCTCTTGCATGTCTACCTCAGACTGGGAGTCTTGGCTCTAGGGTTTAGCACTTCAGGTTTAGGGTTTAGGGCTTAGGGTTTAGGGCTTAGGGTTTAGGGCTTAGGGTTTCGGGAATTAAATGGGGTTTCCCAAAATTAGGGGTACCCTTTTTCTGGGGGTCCCCATAATAAGGATTGTAGTATTTTGGGGTCTGGAACTACCAAATTCCCCCTTAGCAATAGACTGTACCGAAGTAGCCAATTCCCAAGATTTGTCCTCACCATAAGGCTTTTACCTAGACCCCTGGGCGGACCCAGAAACTAAAGCCCGCATAGGGGTTCCTATAAATGTCCCAATCGTATTGGGTAACATATTGGGCCTCTCTAGATCCTTCTAGGGGTTTGGGTAGGTTTTTTGCAGGATTTTCCTGCTCATGGGTATATAGCGAGCGCATGACCCAATCCATCAACGGAAGGAGGTGACAATCTTAGATGCTGAGTCTAGAGGACTCTTAGAGGACCGTAGCCTCCAGGGCTTGGGGTAACTTGATAAGATGCCCTTGCCACCTCACCATAGACATTCCCAATAAAAGTCGATTCTATACCAGGAAACATGTGCTAGAAGGATGCAAGGGGTTTATCCTAAAGGGCAGGGGATTACATCTGTCAGCCCAAGCCCCAAACTCCAAAACCAGGTGCCCAATCCCCGTATGTGGAGACTTCGGGAAATTGATTCGAAGGGGCCCAATATTGAGGTTCACCTTGTAGTGCGGCTCTCTTCAGTGGTTTCTACCGTCTTGAGAACAATATATGTTAGACCAACTCCAACGGTGAATCTTGGGTCGTTGAGCCTTGTGTTACTTGCACCCTGACGATGGCTACACCAATAGTTGCCACAGGTGAAGCTTGTGGGTAACTGTCATTGAACCTGTGAGAAGTCACTCCCCTGGGTATGTTGCACCCCATTCCCCTAGAACTAGAAGTTCTTGCATCCGGCAGGTACGGACACACATTTGCCGTATGTATACTCCTACATAACACGACTAAGTAGACCCTGTGAATCTTCAGGAGCCCGGACGGAGTGCAAGCCAGGGACTTTCAGACCTTGCCTGTGGCCTTCCAGCGCCTAGGCAGTTATAGGGGCAGGCAGTTCATGTTGGGGTGACCGCAAATTTTATTGTGAAGGTCCATTTGTTGGGACATTTCCGTGTTGGGATGTAAGGAGGGTTCAGGACTCATGCTCAGGGCTTTGTGCTTGGGGTTCAGGTTTGGGTTCTAGGCATCAGGACTTGGATCTCGGAATGATGGTGTAGGATTTTGTTTTTGAAGCCCAGACTCTGCTCAAACCTGGGAGGCGAGGCAGGCCCCAAGATAGCTAGGAGCCTCGATCCAGCAGCTGTCAGAACCACACGATTGATGGAAGAATCCTGAATGGTTTCAGGCACGTTTGGCCATGGAATTCTTGAGATATATTGTCACGCAAGACCATTTCCACCAGCATTAGGGCTATTGCCAGCAACACCCACCGCCTCAGAAGTCGTTGAAAGTTGTCTGCATTTTTTTTTGGCTTCTTGGCATGCCGCTTGAGAGTGTGGGATCCTTGATGTAAGGTTTCTTTTTCAAAAGAAATCCTGGCTCCGTTGAGGTCCCTGCTCTCGGTCGCTGTCAAGGTATACAGCGCGAACAGCTTTGAGGACCGACAACTTCTGACAATTCTCCAATGGTATCTTTCTGCACACGATCCCCAGGGTCTCTGCGATGATTCCTCCAGCACATAAGCGCCCCTTTTTCTATCTGTATCAGAAGCCCGCGGCAGCACCCGAGCCCAAGACCTGAAACCCTGAAACCCAACCTTGAGCCCCCTCAAGCCTGAATCCTGTAACCACCACTCTCCAGAGCACCTGTACCCTGAGCTCCTGAAACCCCAACAGGCAAACCCAAACCAAAACTGCTTCAACTTGAGAAGTACCATTGTCTAAACTCCTAGTATCCCCCTTAGTAACCGCTATAGTAGTCCCCTATATAATCCCCTATATATCCCTGATTAAGGAGTGTAGACTATAGCTCATAAGATGTAGAAGCCTGAGCAAGGGGCAGGATGATCTCCTCAGAATCCTCATGCACTCATAGTAGAAGCTATCGCAAACTCATGTGCCAATTGTGTAAGGCCCCCGATCTTACTACCTGTTTTTGGAGGAGATCTCTACGGCCTCGGAGCCACTTCTGGCGTGGTTTGTGCTGGGCTTCGCCGGCTTTTGGCACGTTTTCCTCATGAACTTGTCGCTGGGACTTTGGGGGGGCTCAGGACTTTGGGGGCGGGATGGGATTAGAGTTTAGAGTGTTGGGGGGGTCTAGCCGGCCAGGGCTCAGGGCTGACGGTTTAAGATCAGCCGTGTATGCTCAGAGCAGCGCTTGGCATAGCTTGACCAATTATATTAGCGTTCTCAAGTCAGAGTAATGTGCTTGGACTATTCTTCATGAACTTCCTGCTGGCAACATGGGCTTACAACTGGAGTTCTGGGCAGTTTGAGATTGGGTCCTGAATGTGTAACTGCCAGATGGAGCTTCCTAGGATGGTCCCCTTCCTGAAAAACTCCAGATCGCACGGTCCCAAGGGTGGATCCTTGAGCCCGAAACCGTAACATATTCCCCCCCAAACCTCAACGTTGAAACCTCAACCACAGAACCCCCAAACCTTACACCTAGACCCAAGACCCAAGACCTATCAGGGAAACCCTTTGGTGGGGGAGAGGGAATCCTTATTTGAAGCCTTTTGTCTTCCCGCTTTGTCTCTTGAAAGAGATAATGTTGTCTATTTTTTCAGGGGATGTATGAGCCTAAGCCCTAATCGCAAGCCCTCTGAGGATGGTTGCGCAGCTCTGCCAACGCTTCGGCGCCACCTTCAAAGACGCCTTGGGCGTTGCGGTTCAGGGCTTTTTGAAGGTCATGTTATCTGGCAAGATTTGTTGCAGGATATTAATGGTCAGGGTCTCGGAGGTAGGGTTGAAGGTTAGGATCTTGTTACCAGTTTTACCCTGCGCCGCAAAACCCAAACTCTCACAGGCCTGAGGGTATCCCTATGATATCTCTATATAGCCCCTATATAATCCCTATATAACCCCTATATAACCTCTATAACTT